CTTTTGGCATACTGCTAGGAGAGGCTGTTCCTTGAAGAGGGATATCATGCTTAGAAAGGTGGAGAGTCAGCAAAAGTGGAAGACCCTTAATCAGATGGACTGGACATAGTGACTGCAGCAATGGAATTGAGTGTGTCAGAGATTGTGAGGATGAATAGGACAGGGTTCAGATGTGTTGTTCATAGAGTTGCTATGAATCATACTTGACATCTAACAATAACAACTACTATTACTATTATTACTACTGTATTAAAGAAATAAAGAGGTGAACCAGAAAGGCAAAATTCCATCCCTTAGTCAAGAAACTTCTTCTCAATAGAGTATCTTTATGTCATTAGCTAAGACAGATGAATAGTCTTACAAGTAAAATTTGTAATTACAAAACTCCTGTGTGTGTTACATAATCATTGCCTTCCAAGAAAATCTCAACTTATTCTAAAGCTGATTATAAATTTCACAATTTCTGCTCTACAAATTCTTCTTCTATCCTTAAATGTCAAGTCCAAATGTGATTAGCCAAGATTCATGATCTAACTTGCCAGCTTAATGCTACAACATGACATCTTTTTTTAACTGCAGTCACAACGCTCTTTGCCATTTAGTCAAACTGTACCTTCCCTCCCATCCCCCCACCCCCATCTTTAAGACCCAACATTAGTAGTTCATTATTCTCACCAGTCTTTCCAAAGAGAGACTGGTTATTCTTACAGAGTGAGACATAGAGCCTCATTCTGGCTACTTCAATTCAGCGTTTCCAGACTGGCTGGTGGTACTAGCATGTTTACTAGGAGATGTCATGTGGGAAGGATATCAAAGTATGCATGAGTTGCTTGAGGTTAGGTTTGGGATGACAAAATGCAAATGGTATAAACTAGGACTTCAAAATCTGTAATCACTGAAAAAGAATCCAAAGAAATGCTTGGGCACTGGAACACACAGATACATGCCAGTTCTCTGACATCACTGAGGATTAGAGCAGGAGAAATATGAAATATGGGAATTCAGGCAAAAAACTTTTTCATAACTACCCCAGAACTCCAAACCAGAATTTTGTAACAAAAATATTCAGAAGTGAAATAGAGAAGCAAACAGTACTGTCAAACTCCAGTTCTCTACCTGGCTCACAGCTCTAACTGCTACAGATTGAAACTATGATCCAGCATTAGACCACACGTCTGCTCAGTACTTTGCTCCCAAGAAACAGAGCAAAATGTTGCTGACAAAACTCTCAAGTGTTCTAATGAGCAGAGATTGAAAGATAAATAATTTCTTTACTTAGCATGATGCACATATAGGGTTAAAGGTGGAGAGCACATTTAATCTGGTAATCACTTATAGAAAACCAGGGTAATTTCTCTGGGAAGAACAAGCCCAATTACTCACAGTATGCCATAGTAGGCGGTACTTACTAGCCACTCTGTATGTTCATATTCTTTTGGTAATCTCCCCACCACAAATATTTCCCCCATACAAAATGGTGGAATAATAATGGTTGATGGAATGATCAAACAAGTAGCACAAAGGAAGGAGTATCCTGGGTTGTAGAGTCAGATCTGCATTAGAATTCTGGTCTTGACTTCTATATAGCTGACAACATTCAGCTCTGACATTTAGTCAGTGTTCTGTTTTGATCTGTTCCTGAAAGCTAGAGGAAGACTAGTAAAATTACTATTACATGCTGCCAAGTTGGTTCCAACTGATAGGCACCTCTTGCATGAAACGAAATACTGTCTAGTCTTGTGTGCATAATCGTTAGGTTTGAGGCCATTATTGCAGTCATTGTGTCATCCACCTTATTGAGAGGTTTCTTCTTTTTCACTCTCTCTCAAGCATGATGTCCTTCTTCAGAGACTGATCCCTTCTAAGAAAATGTCCAAAGTATATGAGCTGAAGTCTCACCACTTTTTCTTCTAAGTAGTATTCTAGCTGCTCTTCTAAAACAGATTTGTTTATTCTTAAAACAGAAAATACAGAGCAGTCCATCTCTCTCATCATGTTCCTGCAAGTCTCGTAGCATGTGACCCACCAATAGTTTTTCCAAATGACCTGATCTGGTTAGTCTTTTTCTTCCCAGGACTCATCGTGGCCATGATCGGGGACTTTCTCAGAAGGAGCTCTTATAAAGTCTCAGGGAAGCTGAAGTCAGACTGTAAGCATTTGCTCCATTTAGCTTCTCCTGGGAGACTTCATCTCTAAGATAAGCAGCATTGTCCACTCCTTACCCTTAGATTTGTGCTTGTTCACCAGTTTCGCTATGAGTCAAAAGCGACTCAACGGCACATAACAACAACAACAACAACAACAACAACATCTCCCATTGTGCTAATGCGAAACCTTACTTGGACGAAACGGCAGTTGTCAAAACAGAACAGGGAGACACTGGATAGTTCAAATTCAGGAAGAGGTCCATCAGGGATGTGTTTTGTCTCCATACCTTTTCAATCTGTATGCAGAATCATTTGAGACACTGGGCTGTATGAGGAGGAATGTGGCATCAAGATTGGTGGAAGAATCATCAACAGCCAGCGTTATGCGGATGACACAACACTGCTTGCTGAAACTAAGGAGGACCTGAAGCACTTGCTGCAGAAGGTCAAGGACTGCAGCCTCGTATATGGATTGAAGCTCAACATCAAGAAAATAAAGATTCTCACCACTGGACCAATTGGCAGCCTCAGTACGGATGGTGAAGAGATTGAGATAGGTAACAGTTTTAGTTTATTTGGTTCCATAGTCAACCCTCTTGGTAACAGCAGCCAGGAAACCAGGAGACGAATTGCATTGGAAAGTCGGCTGTGAGGGACCTCTCAAGAGTACTGAGGAGCAATGACGTCAGGATGGAGACTAAGGTGTGCCTGATCCAAGCTATGGTCTTTGCAATTACATGCTATGCATCAGAGAGTTGGACAGTGAATAGGGATAATATAAAGAGAATTGATGCCTTTGAGCTGTGGTGTTGGAGAAGAGTGTTGAATATGGAGAACAAACAGGTTTGTCCTGGAGAAGGTAAAGCCAGAATGCTCCTTGGAGTCAAGGATTCTGAAGCTTTGTCTGATATACTTTGGGCATGTTGCAAGGAGGGACTGGTCCTTGGAGAAGGACATCATGTTTGGCAGAGTGGAGGGACGGCACAGGAGAGGATGGATTGATTCTGTGAGTAGAGTGGTGGAAATGAGTGTGTTTGAGATGGTGAGGTTGGCACAGGATAGAACGGCGTTTAGGGTTCTTGTACATAGGGTCGCTATGAGTCACAAGTGGCTCGCTGGCCCATAATAACAACACATTTATATATGGTATGTCATTAATTCCAACTCATAACTATCTTCTAGAACAGAGTAGAACTGGCCCATAGGGTTTCTTAAGCTATCAATCTTCCTGGGAACATATAGCAGGTTTCCCCTCACATATACAGTGACCTTTCACCTAGAAGTAAAAAACTTAACCATTGTTCCACCAGGGCATTTTCATTTATCTGTAAAATTGTTGATAACAATATTTAGACAAAAAGCAATTTGTGACATACCAAGTCCATCAACATGGTACTATTGATAGTTAATAATCTGGTACTTAAATTTGGTACTTGCAGAATCTCAGGATACCAATTTTAAGATTTCAGAGATTGCCGACTATCAAGAAAGTCTAAGGGGTCCATTTAGTACCACAAAAGTCACTACTTTTGGATCACAGGACTTTCATAAAATATGTATCATTTAGGTCACAAATTAAGGTTCAAAAACTTTAAGGATAATTCATTGATCTCACAAGACCCACTAGGAAACATATGGCCAATTTAAAGGGGATAATTGAGGAGAGCTTAATGAAAATGCCAATTAAAAGAGGTGGGCACAGTGAAGGGAAACCACAGAGATGATGAAATACTTCAGTAATATCCAATAGATTTTTCTGCAATGACGAACATGTTCTACATCTAATAGCATAGCCACATGTGAGCACTTAAAGTGTGCTTAATATGACTAAGTCATTGGGTTCTTAATTTCACTTAATCTTAGTTAATTTAAGTGGCCAATGACTATTATATTGGATAGTGCACCTCAAGTCTAGCAGAGTCATTACTACTCATGGCTTTAAGAAGGAGAGAAAAGAAGTCAAATGGATATAGAATTAGAGCAACAGCTATCGTTTAGAAGAGAAGGCTGCATGACAGGACCAGCCACTGCCAACCTGTAGACCAACAGGGGAAGAGCTGAGGATAACATCCTGACTCACTCTTCCTGTTCTCCCATTTCCTTTAGTGTCTTCTACTGGTGGAACTCAACCAAAAAACTAAGAGAAGTGAGCTCCTGAGTAGTCCATAATGGTCATCTTCTTGAGGTACAGAATGGTAAAGATGGAGGGTAGATCTGGAGCAATATATACCATGTACAAATCAGCTAAAGTAGCAAATGCTTGGTTTATTGGCACTTATAATCTATATCAACATGGAACAGTGGCAAGAAATGGATCAAAACTATGCTTTCCCAATAAAGTACTAAAAATATTTCCTGTTGGAGCTGCACTGGAGTTTTCTGCTGCACTAAACCTACATTAACTCAAGTGCACTTATTTCAGGTTTCATACTGTGTTGGGTCAATACCAAGTCCCTTCAACTATATTCAACCTATTATCTTTCAAGAATCTGTGTGAAATCTTTTCCATAGTGCCATCTAAAATATGATGTCTACAATTGGAAATTCTTTGATATAAAGTCTATTGTCACTCAATAAGCAGATAAACTTCAATTAGGAAATGGAAGATCAATAAACCAGGTACATGAATCCAAAACCTACCACTTTAGGAATACATGATGAATTTCTGTATGGTCACTTTTTTCAGAGAAGACCTTTTTTGCTTGTAACCTTCTGATTATTGGTGTTTTAAAAACTATCATTTTATGCACTGGGTGGTAATGGTAAGGGGTATCTATAGGTAGAATCAAATGCCATTTATGATAATTTTTATTGCCATTTTAGTGAGTTCTGAATCTTTCAAGAGCCCAGTGCTTACTGCTCACTATGTAAGGAAGAAAGGTCTAATGCCAGTGTATAAGGATTGAAATAGGTGCCAAAGGAAAAGCAGTTTCCACCACCACCAAGTATCAGGAGCTGTTGCTCTTCAGGAAGGAGGATGCTGTCATGATTGTGTAGCATTAATGGCCATGGCACACATGTTGTGTCAATCTGATATTCACAGCTCAGTCCTGTGGTCAAATCAATAACAGTCACCCCAGGAACTGAAGAAGAGTGAATCCAGACCCCTCCAACCAGCAGAAGCTTCCCATTGAGTACATGAGCTGTGTGAGAATACCTTGGGGTAATAGGAGGCTGGATGTCCACTGATTCCCAAAGGAATCCGTGAGAGATTGGTTTTAGGTAGAGTATGGAGCTTAACGGCTCCTCAGAAGCCCCCAGACCTCCAGCAAAAAGGGCTCCCCCTTGCCAACTACAGGCACTGTGGGAATGCCGCGCTGCAGGGGCATTCCCCTCCACTTGGATTCTGACCCAAGACATTGTGCTCACATGTAGGAAATGCCAGTCACTTAGGACAGGTTCCTTCACACTTCGACCTCCATACACAAACAAGTATGTCTCATTCTTGTAAGATACTTTGGTTGTTGAGTGTCGCCAACGTGACAGAGTAGAATCTTCTTCTGGACCTGCCTTTGTTATTGTCACCTTCAGGTCCTCGAGGCCATTATCCTCTTCCTTAGAAATACAAAGCTGGAGAATCCCCAAGGCTGGAGTCACTGGGGAAAGTCGCCCACCCAGAACCAGAACCTGAGTGTCCGAAAGCCTTGTCATGGTGTGATAAAGGCGTCCATCCCACTTGCATCCAGTCTCCCAACCGCCTATCTGACTGCCTTTCCACTCAGAGTCACAGTGTCTTAGGAGCAAGTGAAACTTGCTGACTCGGCAGTGCTGCCCCTCCTGCTCACCAAAACCTCCTGCACTGAGAATAACGCCTGGACTCAACAGGGTAGAGGCATGGCCATATCTCTTAAGGTTAGAGCCCTGGCTGTCACTCGTGACTACACTGACAGGGAAGACCCCCGCGGGTGAGTCCGGATCGACCCATGGAAACACCTCTGTAGCTGGAAACACCAGCATTTGGGAGAAGGTGTCCCCCTTGGATGCTGCTAGAATGAAATAGTGTGCACATTTCAGATGCCACTCTTCAAATTCATCAAAGGGCTCAAGGTTTTCTATCCGTCGGCGTTCTTCTGCAGGGACAAAGCGGCGATAGAATTCATTCATATCCATGGCACTGCAAGCTGTCCAGCCAGCTTGAAGGAAGCGGCGCCGCTGAGCCTCCACGTTGGGAAAGCTGTCCAAGCCATGCAGAGGAGAATTCAGCTGCCGAAAATGTTGCTGCATGAACTGGCCAAAGGCATCATGCGGCTTCATCTGCTCGTAGATGACGAAAAGGGCATTAGAAAACCGCTGCGCTGCCCAAGCGATGAGGTCAGCGGCACTCTTGGGCTCCAGGTAGGTTAGCACTGCCTCTGCTAGGAGCAGAGTGGGTGCGGCTGCGTCAAGACCAGCCGTGGCCAGAGCCTCATCCAGCCGTTGCAGCTGCCGCAGGTCAAGACCCAGGATGCGGTAGTCCAAACTGCCCAAGAGCAGCGCAGACGCGGGATCACCCTCCTGAAAAGGTCCGGTTAATGCGCACAGCTCCGGTATATCTCGAATCCTTTGTACTTTGCGTCGCGCTACATCTGGGAAATCCACCTCCCAAACCGTGGCCCGTGTTAGGCGACCCGCGCTTTTGAGGCGAAAATACAACGAGTCAGAACCCGCGCCCAAAGACAAAATCTGTGCGGGAGGGACGTCAGAGAGGACGCACGTCTGCTCCAAGAAGGCGCGCACGCAGTATCGCACGGCGCGTGCGCGAACGTAGTAGCCGCGGTGGATGAGCGGCGCCCGGCGCGCTCTCCCCGGGACCAGTAATGCGGCGAAAGCGTCTTGCACGTACCCGCGCGCTGCCAGTGAGTTTTTGCTGAGGGCGCTGCTGTCGTTGGTGTTCTGCACTGACCCCGCTCGTCGCTCGCGACTCCGCGGGCCCATGACCTGGAGAGATTCAAGAACTGCGGTCTGAAAAAACACACACCAAACACCAAAACCCAAACAAAAAACACCGCATCAAAAACCTGTGGCTTATGACAATTGCATTTCATCTCTACAGACTTCGGAACGGAAAAACTCCCTTCCGTGAACAAAGGGTGCGTCACTTCCGGCAAGAGCATATCTAGCCTATCAGAACTGGGTAGTGATACGGTTTTCTTCGATTCTTGGGGACTGCGTTTCCTTGGGAAGATAACGTACTTAGCAGAGCGCAGATTGTCACTTTTCTGCAAACTTTCAGCCTGAATGGAAAACTGTATAGGTCCCCATAGTTTGCTAAACTGATGAAAACTCTGAAGAGGTGAGTCTATGGGTACTGACTACTTGGAGACAACCTGGCTTCTTTGGACGGTAGTTTAGTATTAACTGATAGGGCAAAGCAATGTCAACACCTTAGGCACTATTGAAAGGAGGGAAAAGTAATTATTTCTCGGATGGTAATTTAAGAAGCGAAAGGGAAAAAAACGAGGGCTCTCTGGTGGCATAGTTGAATGGGGTTGCTCTGCTAACCCAGTGGTGGTTCCTCTTTAATAGTTGGAATCCACCAGCCTGCCCCATAGGAGAAAAATGAGCAGTCCCCTCTGTGTGATTTACGGCCTCTGAAAACGAAAACCCACAGCTAGAAGTTACCAATTTAGCTTTCTCCTTACAAAACAGATGTCTTTTTTAAAAATTATTATTAAATTTTATTAGTTTTAATGAACATTTACAGAGATTTCATTCATTATTGCACTGTTTTCTCTACCCTCCCCAGTTCGTTCTTCTTCCCCCCCTGTCTGTTTTAATTGTCCAGTTGCCACAGTGCTTGTCAAAGCCAGTTCTGATTAATCTCCTTTGTCAGTGTGTCCTTTGCCATTCCCTATCACTCTCCCCTAAGAGAGATTTCACCCTGATTCATAAGGAAAAGGGGATGGCTTATTCTCTTAGCTACTTCCTGCTGAAAAGGGACGTTGTGGGTTTCAGGGTGAAGATCTTTTTTTTAAAGTGGAAAACCAATCTGTGAGACCAAATGCAAAGTGAAGAGACTGACATTTAGAAGAGTTGTGACTTCAACTGTTTCCCCAAGATAGTAATGTTGTTGATAGCTTTTAATTTTTTAGCCCTTTGCTATGCTGAAAATTAATAAACCACTTGGCTCGGTTTCAAATAGTGATGTCAAGTCAGGGTTAAAGATAAGCAAGTGTTTAACATGGCATCCTGGGAGTCAGTATGAAACAAAATACAGATATTTTTAGAAGATTTATTAATTGCCTGTCAGAGACTGGTTGGCTGTGGAGGCCCAGTCAATAGGGAACGAAATAAGGATGACGTTAGGCATGGTTAAGGATCTAGTGGCCTAGTCCAGAGGGAGTTTCACTGCTAACCAAAGGCGACGTCTCTCTCAGTTCGAATCCACCATTTACTCTGAGGAAAAAGGGTAGTCTCCGCCAAACATGCTGGAGTGTCAGCTCTGAGTCTGTTCCAACTTAGATGGCAATAAGCTTTTAGGTGTAGTTTCTGTTCTAATGGCGTAATCTGTAGCGTATTGCCCTGTTAAGATTTACAATCTTGGAAACTCAATGAAGAGGTTGCTGTGAGTTGGAATAGGCTTTACAGGCATTGAGTTTGAATTTTGGTTTAGGGATGGATAATTTAAAGCGGTGTGGCAAAATTATTGCCAGCACGAGTTTTAGAATCCAGCTAATTTAGATTTAGGTCCTGGAACTCAAGGAAAAGTTTGGAGGAGGATAAAAGTTTGCCTATTGAAGAGTGCCATTTAGTTTAGCATTTAAGAGTTCGTGAATCAAGTTACAGAGAGCAATTTCTGTGGAGCACATGAAAGCAGAATTCATCTTTCAGTGAGCAAAAAATGAGCATAGTTTATCCAACATAGAGTACATGTTCACAGTATTTAACTAAGAAGGAAAAGAATGATAGCTAAAGAGATTGAGGAATAAACAAAGAGTTTTGTGTTTTGTTTCCAGGTAAAATCAATTTCTATACATGTATACATGGAAATCAGACAATGGAGAGGTATAGGATGAAGGAACGGAAAAGTGAGAACATGACTAGTAGAGGGGTGAGATGCTGGGAACAAATTCGTTTTAGAATTGGGCAAATGAAGGCTTTCCTTAACTCATGAGGAAAGAAATAGATGGAGAGAAATAGATCTCTCTCTCTCTCTCTCTCTCTCTGTCAGTCTGTCTCTCTCTCTCTCTCTCTCTCTCTCTCTCT